AAGATGCGCGTTAAATATCGCATGCGATTTATCGTGCAGCCCTAATATTTTACTTTAATTTTACGGTCTTTGTTTGGCAGCTGTAGCTGCCAGTCATGTACCATTTTTTTATTTTTTTTTTTACAGTGTAGTCTATTGGACTACCTTCAGTCATTTCGAATTTTAATTACCTTGACTTTTGAGAATTTTTTTAAGCATTTTCCTTGTATTATTTCTGAACATATACTATGTATAAGACAAGTTTGTAGGCTACAATTAGTTGTAGTTCATGCAACTTTTCTGCAATGATATTTAACAAGTGATTTTTTTAACATTTACAACATGTTGACAACTTCAAGTGTGGTGCACTTGGAATAGAATTTTCTTTAACTAGAGGGTTAATAAAGAAAACGTTACTTGAATCATGTTGTAGTTACATCTTCAAGTTGACTAGTTTAAAATCGTAGATTTTAAAAATTCAAGATTTTATTTTTTTGCCATATCGCCTAGCTTTAGTATAGTGTGAAACATCAGTGTATGAATACCCAGGATTAATTGTAAACCCAGTGTAAATTATGAGCAGTGTGAAATTCGAAGCAAGATAACCCAGGATTCCGTTTAACTAAGGTTTAAAATGACCAAGGGTTAACCATTTAAAGTAATATTTTCTGTGGGTGACTGCACCAAAGCTCCAGGAGATATGAAATATTGCACAAACTACTTTTAGGGTGCTTTTTTCTTCTTCTTTTTTTTTTTTTTTTTTTGCTTGACAGTATCCTTCCCCATTAACTTTTTCATTGTGTGGAAAGAGAGCAACATAACCATTCTGCAAAACATCTCCGTTTTACGTTTAAAAAAAGACAATCAAACAGATCTGAAGCAAAACTAAGGCGAGTAAAAGTGTTCGTTTTGGGGTAAACTACACCGATAAGGCGACATTGGAAACAAATCTGGCCAATGTGCCAACGTCCTTTAACAAAAGTTGTGCAGTACATGTCAGAATATTTGGAACCGAATAGAGGGGCATTTACTCTAGTTGTTAGATGTGGCTTTAAAATTATAACTTGCGGCATGTGGCATTTGTTTGTATGACTCTCACACACAGATCTCTCTGACACGCACACCTTCGCAAACAGCGTAAATGCATGTCAGCCCCAGTGATACACAAGAAGAAGAAACCTTTGACTCGTGGGCCAAGTCAGCAAATAAATGACAAATACTGGATAACCTGTTACCACAGACCCATGAAAACAATGGCTTCCGTCTGAGCAGAATGAGGCCATGGGAAGGAGGGGTTGAAGCTCTCATAATCCTTGCTGGAAACTCGCAGTCATTAATCTGATTAATGTATACAAGTCTACAGAGCGTCTACAATATATCAACTCCAGAAATGCCCATTAATCCAAGCATACTTTTTCCAACAAGATCTGACTCCTTTGCAACTGGCAAACAACATGGTTAGAGGAAACTAAATGCCAGAAAGACAGTACAAACAGCAAGGCCAGATTATTCTCATGAGGGAAATCATGCAATCCAAATGATCTCAAATTGTAAACCGATCAGTGACCTATATTTCAGCCACGCCGATTAATCGCACAATATTTGGCCATTTTGAGATTAGCGCACTGGAATATACAGTAAAGCTGCCCACTCTGGTTAATGAAGGGACATTTCACTATTGTGTAAATCTACCAACAGACGTGTCAATATATACTTTTTTCATAAATTTTGTTTAAAATAAGCTTTCATTTCAGCAATGTTTTCCTTGTTTGGCATTATATTATTCCGGCATCTAGACATCAACATTAGAAAAACCCATACTGGTCGACCACTAAAAGAGATGCAGAATAATTCACACATGGCATAGATAGATATATGGAAATGCAGAGTAACATTTGCAAAACCAGAGAGAAACAAGCTTAAAATTAGGAACTTACCACAAACAAAGGAGAATGTTAGAAATTAGTGGTGCTTTGCCCAAGAAAACGGCCTCTTCGGTGGCCCTGTAAGAGGAAGATGATGTTAGGCTTTTGTCAGGTTTTAGTAAGCCAGAGAAGATGTACTGTAAGCAGCAGAAAGAGTCTCCTGGTCCTCTTAAGATGGCAGTACGGTAAAGAAAGCAGCAGGTTAATATAAACCCAGGCACTCAAAGGTGGCACATTCTGAGATGGAGAGTGAAATGCCACACATAGAAGACCTGAAGAGGCAATCATGAGGACACTGGAAAACACCTCGGCTATGTGTTACTGGCCTCAAACCTGACCTAGCCATAAGTCAACACCTCACTCAAGGAATGTCCCGGGTTTAATATAAGTTAAGCTCTATGGACAGCAGCTGTGGCACAATTACCACATAAAAGATCGAGTTTTACAACTTCATAGATTAAATAAAATTTTTGTACTAAAAATTAATATAACTGCTTTACCAACAATACTGAAGGATAAGTAAATATTTTTGATGATGAACAAACATCACAAATACGATCCATAAAACATTTCTTTCAGGATATTTTGAAATAGTACTACATGTCAGTTTTTGAGAACAATTATATCATTGATATATTTATTTATTAGTCTGATGATAGCAAATATAGATTATATATACAATCTGTCACAGGTTTGGAATAAATAAGATTTCTTTAATGTTTAAACAAGAATTCTCTTGTAAAAAATTCTCTTGCATTTAGGCAATATTGTGAAACATTATTACAATTTAAAATAACTGTTTTCTATTTCAAAAATTTTAAATGTAATTTATTCATGTGATGAATTTTCATGACTTCAGTGTCATAAGATCGATCTTTCAGAAACCATTCTATTATGCTGATTTGGTGGTCCTATAATGAGTGTTATTATGATCAATGTTGAAAAGAGTTTTTGGTGCTTAATATTTTGTGGATTTTTTGGGGATTCTTAAATGAATAGGAGTAGGACATTCAAAAGAACAGAATTTATTTGATATAGAAATCTTTTATAACACATTAAATGTTTTAGCTTTAATGCATCCTTGTCAAATAAAAAGTTTTTTTTTTTTATCTTACCCCAAAATTTTCAATGGTTGTATCAAGTAATGTCATATGTATTAAGCAGCACGACTGTTTGCTAAAAATTAAGGAACACATTTATATTTAACAACAAATGCACAACATGCACTGAAAATATCACACTTCTGTCTGTGAGCATCTGTAGACTACACGTTCTCTTTCCAAAATGAAGCCCAGTATGGAATGTGACATCACCTATGACATATAGCACATTCCTGCTGTCAGGTTCAGGCACGCTGCTCTAATTAGACCCCGAGCACACGACCGCCTCACCTCATCAGGACTTCCTCTAAACACTCCTACACAACTAAACAAGGCTGCAGTCGCCCAGACACCTTGTTTAGTTCTAGCATATTCTCCTTATTCTTCAGAATGTTTAGAGCCAAAATGTTGCATGAAATTATCAGACTATGAAATGGATTTGGAAGCACTTGCATGAAGCGTGAAAAGGCCCACTGTTACAGCTCATGGCACATATCCAGGGCAGCAGGACTGAACTGACAGAAGCAGTGGATTATTTTACAGGGAACCATAGCCTAATTTCATAAATGGATGACTGACAATAGCAAGTAAATGTTGTGCCTTAAGCTCATTTCAGAAAGTCTGTGAGAAGACTTACTGCTTATGAAAAAGATCAACAGATGTGAGGAAAATTACTGGCTCATACGGATGACAAAATCTCAACACCAGAGGAGCTAGCAGAACATATAATGTCAATATACACAATATGTGGCACATTTCACATGATATTTATTTAAAATAATTTAAAGTTAACATTTATAATGAAACGTTTATTAGCCTATGTATTGGCAATAGTGTTGGGAAATATGACCTACCAAATTTTAACTAATTCTGATGCATTCATCAGAAAACAATACTTGATATCTTAGGTCATTGTGCTTCTAAAGCAGTGATATTTTAATGTACTTGTAGAGTTTTTATTAATATTTTGAATACATTTTTAATTTGATGTTTTCTGTTTTCATTTTAATTTTATTGTTCTTCACATTTTATTGGCTTTTTGTTTTTTTAGTGTTTTTAAAAATCTCAGAAGATTTAAGTTAAACAAAAGTCAGATCAAGTTAAACAAATGGAAAGAGAAACAAGTTATATATTCACGTAAAAAAAATGATACTACATTTTTTTAAGGTAAGTGGTTGCAAACAATTTATTTCAGCTACATTTAAAAACAAATGTTAAAAGTTAGTCAACTAAATTTGTTTATTTAAATGTAGCTAAAACAAACTGATTGCAACCACTTACCTTAAAAAAATGTAGTAAATTCAATGAATCATTAGTTTTTTTCAGTGTACCAAAATTACCAACTTTAACTACCAATTTTTAATATGCATTTCAAAAGTTAGACGTATAGTTTTGCATCAGTTATTAATTCATAAATATTAAATTACAGAGGAGTTGCACCACATGACATTTTACAATCCAAACTAACCTTTATCGCAAAAAGGACAAGTTACTTTACTGACCTTGACACACAATCATTAAGGGTCCTCTCCATAGGGCTGAGTAAAACTATCGATATCTCGATTTTAATCGATTCTCATTTTTACCAAACGATATCGATTCCTAAATCCCAAGAATCGATTAGTCTAGCCTGTTTTCAGATAACGGATGGAACATTGAAGCGCACCTCCCATCCAATAAATCGCAATAAGCATTGTTGGTACTTTTAATATGAAACAAAGTCTCAGATTTCAATTTATGCCCATTGTATTGCAGTATTCAAACAATAAATGCCGTTTTCAATTCTCATTTTTACGAAACGATATCGATTCTTAAATCCCAAGAATCGATTATTCTAGCCTGTTTTCAGTTAATGGATGGAACATTGAAGGGGACCTCCCATCCAATAAATCGCAATAAGCATTGAGCTTTGGTACTTTTAATATGAAACAAAGTCTCAGATTTCAATTTATGCCCATTGTATTGCAGTATTCAAACAATAAATGCCGTTTTGGTGCTGTTTATTGTGGAGTGACAGATCGCTGTAGCGCCTCAGTTCAACAGACGTGAACTGATCATCTCCTCCACATTAATACCAGTTTCAGCATAAAATAAACATGACTAAACATCCGAAGGTAAGTAAAAAGAAAGAGTACAACTTTACAATCCATATCCTGTCTCATGTAATCGCTCAATCAGTGTTTCAGCCACGCAAAGACGTCAATATAACAGCTTGTAAACAATTCATGCAACATCACATTTACCTCAGAAAGCATATTCGGTGACCATAAACTTGTTAGTCAGCCAGAAAAATAATCTGTAGAGAGGGGCATTTTGCTAAATATATGCACCATATAACATTCATTATATTTTTTTACTGTTTTTTTAATGTTTTATTTATGTTTGAATAAATCCGTCCAAGTTTGTATGACAGCCACTATTTAAACGTGTATATTTAAAAAAAACTAACTTAAATAATTGTAACTTAATTATTATAAAAACTTCATTAAGTGCAATTTAAGCAGTTGTACAGCACAAATCAGTCAATTTTAACCTTCAATATTATAATGTAGTACCAACTGACTCTCATGTATATTTTACAGCATTAGTTGAGAGATTTTTTTCCTTGAGAAAATTTGGCATGTAGCCTACTGTAGCCTACCTGATATGTATCCAAAATAATCGATATTGAATCTAATCAAATTGGTAATCGAATCAAATCGCACTTGTGAATGCGAATCGAATCGTAAAACTTGTCAAAACCCAGCCCTACCTCTCCATGTTAATATTTTAATATTTCTCTGCATGTTTCAACAGCATATCGAAAAAATTTTACTGAAATTGCATAACATTTCTTTAAAAGCATAACGCAAATTTTCAGAAAGCCTATTTAGACCAAAATGACACCACACTAGTCTGAAAGATCTGACGCACGTGACCATTTTTCACTTAAAACCCCACATTTACCTTCCTTCCACACATCTTCCCAGGAACACTGATCTGTCAAAGAATCCTGAATTTGGCATCTGGAAAGCTCAATATAGCCCTGCTCTCAAAGGCTCAGTGAACTCTGGGTCCTTGTGTAGGCATGAAGAAAACAAAGGCAGTTTTGTTCTCCACCCAGCGTCCTCCAGCACCCCGCACAACAACAGAGATAGTTCCCTACGTGAGTTTAGTCTAAGATCAGTGAGCATCCATGAAAGGTCTCCGTGATTGAACAAAGCAATAAATACAATACAAAAACATCTAGGTATAAGACTTCATGGGAACACAACAAAGAAAGCTGAATGGGATCACCAGAGCTCTCACGGATCTGCAATTTAACCCTCTTCGCTTAAAAGTGCGGAACCCTAATTACTAAAGAGCATGAAGCCCTGGGCTCGCATTCAAAACAACTCACAGTCTAATCTCGGATTTAACTTTTACTGCACTTTAACATTTTGGAGACATGTTTTATCCAAAGCAACTTGACCATACATCACTGAACCCAGAATATCTGCACTGGCAGTCTAATCATTAGGCCCTCCACCACCCTTCATCTGAGATACAATGACACAATTTTCTACAAAAGGAGATGTACCTGAATGTTGAATTGCAAAAACACTATTTTATGCAAGCAGCAAATAAGGGTTACATTCTTATAAGCCATTCCCATTCATCCATAATCTGGAGTGAGAAGACAAAACAAATGAATTCTCCTGAAACTTGATCCTGTTTGACACTGCCAGCACAAACAGTGGGACACATTTTTATATAAATAAAAGGTTATATATTCAGAATATAGGCTAATTTTATTTGGGTGTTGCTTCAACTTTTGAAGTCCTGTGGGTTGATTTTTACTTAAACAGATTTCAACTTTTTGATATTTTATTATATGACGGTCACATGGGAACTTTTTATGCAGCTACTTTTCAATGTATAATTTAACCTTGTTCCACACCCATTTATCAACATGAATTAAATTTAAAACGGTAACGATCCAAACAATTAGTGAAACAAATGATTTTTATATTTATGAAAATTATTTGTATCAACTGAATTTTGCCACATAATAGCATCATTTCCAAAACAACCAACAATTTTGCCCTAATAGTGTACTTTTATTAGTGCAAATAATACTAATACTAAGCACTGGTACTAATAATGGTACTTCAGTACTAATAGTGTAATTTTTACCAAGATACATTGACTGTGAAGAGCATACTTGAGATGAAATATGACATGTGATGTCTTAAAAAAAAGGGGGGAAAGAGAAAATATGATTTAACTGTAACTTAGTATATTTAGGATACATAAAATGCTAGCCAAAAGAGATCATGTAACATTGCTGGACACTATACATAAATTAAAATGTGGTGGAAATGACACAGTGGGGAAAATTACTTAAATATTCTCCTGTGTATGTCCACTGCTGTGGACAAACTAAGTGTTTTAAGAGTTTATATTGCAAAAACCACCTGGCCCAAGGTGCCCATATTTAAAGAAACACCCATTTATATTTTATTTTAATCACAATACAGGTAACTTTAATATCAGCAGTCTGCAGACATTAGCCCCTTTCTTCAAATAGCAAAGGGTGAAGCCTCCTCAAATTTCAAGGGATTTGTATGACTGTAGTGTCAAAGGAAACGGATGTTAGACGGACTTTGGGTGGCACACAACATATTAAACAAGCGGACTTGTTTAATCCCCTTATTCGTGTTTTGGCCTGGACAAATATACCCTTCACACACATACTTGAGGTAAAAATGTGCCCACTTAAGCACCACAGAGATACACAGTAACCGATTCTAATACTGAAATCTACTTACTCGTTGTTGTTTTGCTCTTATTCAGGCAAAAACCAGTTATGCACTCGATGTCCTGCGTCGTCAAACTCTCCCAGAGTTCCTCAGTGCGATGTGAAGCGGTTTATCTCCAATACATTTACATGCAGACTGCGTTCAGAGCGAGAAAGGCGCCATGTGAAGAAAAGTTGACACCGCTCAGACACCTTCCCTTTCTGCCATGGCAACCGAGCGGCGAAATAATATCTCCCATAAACATTTACCAGGAGGCAGGGTCAAGGAGAAACACTTTCAACAGGTTGTTTTTAGAAAGCAGGCCCATCGTCGACAGTAACTCATAGCGTTTATTCCAGCAACAGCAGCAGGCGCGTACGAGAGGAGTCTTCACGGATGAAATTAGACGCTGGGGCTCCGCGTTATGCCCATTGAGCCAATTACACGAGTTAACCCTTTCAGGTTCAAACAACTAACGGCTATTTTTTATTATGGCTATAACGGCTATTATAGTATTTTAGTACTTGTACTTGTAGGGTTTTATATAACAGGTCTCGTTACGATTTTAAAATTAAAGTACTAAAGATAAATAATAATTTAGGGTTTTGCAGTCACTTAGTAATAATAAGAGCAACAGCGCCCTCTGTAGGCTGAGAAGACAATACTCACTCGTTTCAATGTCATTTCTCATCACAACCATCTTTTTGACAGGAGCGCAATGCAAATAACAGACAAACCATTCAGTCCAAAAAAGCTATCGGACATTCATAGCTATTGCCGTGTACATTCCGTTAAATACATAGCAGGTCATGTTATCACACTGTATGGGGGTAAGTTGTCACAGCAGATCCTGCCATTAAACAGCCTATTAATTTTCAGATCAGTTTAAATCTAATATAAAACATGAAACACAATAAAAAAGGGCACAAAAACTCATAAAAACACTGCTTATTATCAATAATAATTATACATGTATCTGTAATGAATAATACAATACATCTCTAATATTTTAAACACAAGGCAACCTGCCCTGATCTGGCATTTATGAGGGGGAAGAAAGCCTTGTCCATTCCGTAGTACACTAATAAAAAAAAATAAAAAAAAAAATAATAATAATAATAATTTAAAAAATCGGTTTTTATAAATGACACTAAACTTAAAATTAATAGGCTATTTCATAAATCACATAGGCCTATATCAACAAATGTAAAATATACCAGTTAACCAAATTACACACATTAAAGACATTTCAAATTTTGAAATAAGCATGTTTTCAATATGCTGTCAATCAAATAAGTACAGGTGCATCTCAATAAATTAGAATGTCGTGGAAAAGTTAATTTATTTCAGTAATTCAACTCAAATTGTGAAACTCGTGTATTAAATAAATTCAATGCACACAGACTGAAGTAGTTTAAGTCTTTGGTTCTTTTAATTGTGATGATTCAGTCTGTGTGCATTGAATTTATTTAATACACGAGTTTCACAATTTGAGTTGAATTACTGAAATAAATGAACTTTTCCACGACATTCTAATTTATTGAGATGCACCTGTATGTTGAATTGTTTGTAGCTGCGTCATTTCTTAACATTTAAAACAAATCCACCGTGAGGTGCTACACACAACATTATAATGTGTAGAGCAGCCCAGTCAATCACCAATAAAAGTCTGTAACGTTTGGGTTTCTTCATTTATCGTCTCCAGTTATTTATAGCAGTAATAGCACAACTATAGCAGTGCTGCTGGAAACAAATGGATATAAGATTAATTATCACAGTGGCGCTGCGAGATATAGGCTAGGTTATGTTTTTAAGTTCATATGGACGCTTAAATGTTAGATAGGCCTAGATGTCAATTAGGATAATTACATTACATGTTTATTTAAATTGCTGTTCTTATTTTAGGAATGATACATATTATACAATGAAATTAACTGCAGTTTTTATTTTTTTTTAAAGAGCATGAGTTTAAAAAGAGCATGTCCATCACTTACTTTATTATTATTTTCTTGTTTAATTATTTTTAATCCTTTGTGCTTTAAACTGAAATATACACACACGGCCTTATGGATCTTTTTTCTTAGGGGGTCATGCATGTTATGGCATCCATTTTTATCTTCCCACTATTGGATAAAAAATGTATTCACAATATGTAAAGACAGAAATCATATTTAAATATTAATTTGAGCTATTATTTTGTCAAATATTAGTTTGACTTGAGATGCACTTACTTCTGAGAAGTTTATTACGAATTATTTCAGATTTTTCTTTATTTGTCCTTTTCTCTATTATTATTATTATTATTATTATTATTATTTTTCATTTATTCGTTTTTCTTATTCTCTGCAGAATCTTCTTTTATTTGACAATGAATTCATATTTTCCCCCGGTGTCCTCAATATTGGCATTTTCATCTTGGTAGTCTTTTGTAATGTCACTTTAATTAACAAAAGACAGGTCCTAAATAAGATTTAGGCTATCAACAACAACAAAGATTTAGCAACATGAATTCTTTGTTGTTTTGTCAAGTTAATTTCTCACTTGTTATCATTTTCTCATCCTGTTAGACAAAATTACAGAAATTGTGCCTACATTATTTGATCAAAATTGCATAAGATAAGTGATGTGCTGATTTCATGTTAACATCCTCATGTGAGCTTTCAGTCCTTCACTCAGAAGTGACTAACTTTAGCTCTTTATTTTCGTCCTGTTAAGTTCCATCCTGCTAAGCATCCTGTTCATTTTTCTCTCCACTGTTTAAATAATCAAGCTATATTAAATAAAGCTTAAGTACTTGAGCTTGAACAGAGCACATTTCTGAAAGTCTGGTGTACTTTTTATAGAAACGACAACGCAGGCATATTGTTGTTTAAGAATTCTAGAATTCTAAATGTACTGATTATCAGGAATGACCGGAATGATCACAGGGACTTTTGTTTTGAAATCTCCTTGGAGTCCGAGAGCGGAAGTCATTCGCGACCAGCGAAAGGTTCACGTTACTTGCAGGAACACTGAAGAAAGGAGGAAAAGCGGGTAGCGGATATCAACAGTGATTTTATTCAGAAAAGGTGTCCTATAATCTACAGACGCTGGTATCTCAGTATTCATCTCCCCCTCAAGCCACTGGCGAAATTCATCGTGGAAGTGAGTGAAAGAAATAAAGCTGCTATAGCGAACGAGCTAAAGGTGTTTGTCAAGCTGTTAGCTCCATTAGTTCATATTGGTTAGCTGACGGGTAATCCTGCCTATAATTAACGGTAATCTTGATTGATTGAGGCTGTGATCTGTATACAGAGTTTGAACAATAACTACGCATCACGACTCGCCCTGTGGCTCATATTAGCGACAGAAATGAATAACTTGATGTCTCTGTTCGCTGTTTAGATGTGATATGCATCGATATCTGAGCAGCTCGATTGGTTATCAACAAAGCAGTTAGATATATTGGTGCTCTAGACAGCTGGCAGGTGATTTGTGAAATATCGTGTTCCTCCTTCATGTTAAGGGCTGAAAACTTTGAACATTGAGGCTTCTGGCCCGCAGCAGGAGGAAAGCTCATTCAATGTCGTGAGAAGGCTTTATTTATTTATTTACTGTGTATTTTTATTTACATTTATTTTGTTGAATGAAACATACGGATATAGGTGGTGTTTATTATTTCACGTTCTGTATTTTTATTTCTATTTGTTTTTTTTATTATTTGTATTTATTTTTTATAGAAGGATGTTGTCTTCACTGGGGGACCATTAGAGAATCCATTAAAGGGGTCATATGATGCTTTTTTAAAGATCATTATTTTTAGGGGAATTTACCGTTAACCATTTAACAGGTTTTTACTGTAGCATTTTTACAGTCTTTTATCGTTAAATTCACGGTCATTTTTTACAGTGTATGCACAATCAGCTTGTAACACTCCAAAGAGAAAGGAAAACTTGAAATCGCATCATATGACCCCTTTAACGTACACAGGTCTGAGACTGTGGTCTTTGGAGAAAGATGCTAGTTTAAAAAGCTAGTTCACCTTAAGATGAAAATTCTATCAGTGTTGCTATTTCTGTAAAGCACAAAAACCAAATCTTGACGGCTTTAGTTGCCATTCACTTTCATTGCATCTTTTTATCCACACAGTTGTGGCTGTCAGTCAAACATAAGTACCTAACACTTTTTTTTTCTCACTGAAGAAAGAAAGGCCTACATGTTTAGATCAACGTGAGACTGAGATTGTTCTGAATTATGACAGAATTTTCAATTTTGGGTGAGCTGCTCCTTGAAAAATTTCATTTAAATGTCCGTGGTGTGTAACCATTCATTGCATTCATTGATCGTTGATTTGTACGCCGTGCTCAGGAATTTAAATGTATTTGCTAATACAATTCAAATTCCTCTGTATTATCAGATTATATTTATTGTTCCTAAATATGTAAATTAAGATTGTAACAGGTGGTGCTTTGTAAGTTTGACTAGTCATAAATTGTATGCAGATATTCAAAATTTAGGAAAACAATGCGTATGGCTAATATATGTTAGCAAATGAGTGACTGAATAAACGACTATTTTGCATCAAGTATAACCATAATAATACCTATGAATTTGTAGTAATCGTTCAAATTCTATGAGAATAGGGAAGTCCATAGCTATAACTATGATTGCACAGAGGAACAATTATTTTCCAGCTGATAAAATGTTGACTGCTGATTAGAATCCACCCAACTTTAAAGCCTCGTTCACATTAATAACGATAACTAAGCTATATAACCGTTCGCACCAAGTATAACTATAACTATAAAGTTTTAATAGTCATTCTAATTGTATGAGAATAATGAACTCTACACCACAATGGCAAAGAGGAACGATTTGGTTGTAATCACTTTCCAAACTTTTTTTTTTCCCAGCTGATGAACAATAACACATTGACTGCCAATCTGAATCCACATGACTTTAAAGGCCTGCTCACATCAAGAATGATAACTGTTAAAGATAACTGTGAAATTAACTATAATGGCATTCACACCAAAGAACAAAAACGCTCGTGCTCTGGTTATGTTGTCTGCTGTTTTAGATGCTTGAGCAATTGTGTGGATTCGAATTAGCTGTCAATGTTTTGTCGTTCATCAGCTGAAAGAAAATATACAAGAAATATAAAATATAAATATTAAAATTAAAAAAAAAAACGTTTGAAAGTGCTTTCAACAATATGATTCCAACAATATAGATGTGGTTTTGACTTCCCAATTTTCAGAGAATTGGAAAGATCATTAAAACTTCATAGTCATTGTTACATCGTTGGTTATTGTAAACTGGCCTTAAAGCACTTGAGAATTTAAAGTGGCAGGTGGCAATATCACAGCACGCGATTGTAAACTAAATCTTATCGTCTGTTGGTGTGAGCACGAATAAATTTATCATAGTTATTGTTCTTGGTTTGAATAGGCCTTAAGTCAATGTATATGTTTCTGTATTGTATTGAGATTCACTGATTTTGACTTGTCAATATTGAAGGTTTTCGCCTCAGTGATCACCCCTAAAGCACAGAGTGTGCAGTCTTACTCGGGTTCAGAGAAGCGTTTCCTCACTGGTTGTGTCACAATAGGAATCCCTCCCTGATGCCCGACTTCCTCCTGAGCTAATCTCTTTTCAAAAGGTTAATGATTTGAGATGAGACATCTAATGGATACAGCATATTGCATTAGTGCTGCATCACCGATAATCGCAAATAATGATGCCATGGGCATTAGAAATACGTCAAAATGTATGCACATTTGTGGGTTTATATTTAGTATAATTCCAACCACTATTGTTTAGCATGGCTGTGATGCGGTTGACATTAGGAACTAGTGTTGTCAAAAGACCCGGTATTTCGGTACCAAGTCGCTGAAACACACCAGCAAACACTAAAACAGACAACAGTTTACAGATGTTTTTCAGTGGCAGCAGAACTATGACTAAACTTTTGGGTGAAACTTGTTTACTTTTTTCTTACTTTTATTACTTGTGGGAAAACTTGAAACACTTTTAAATAAGTATAAAGAATGGCATTGGTTTTGTACATTTAATTTTTGTTTAACGTTATTAATAAAAATGTTGTTCAATTAGCATGTTTTTGTGTTTTGCTTTGGTACCGAAATTGGTACCGAGAACCGTGGATTTTCACTGGTATTGGTACCGAATACTGAAAGTTTGGTACCGTGACAACACAATTAGGAACAATAGATCTGTGTGTGATATAGGTCAGTTAGAAGCACTTCAGTCCCTTTGTATGGGCTTTATTCATCAAAGTGAACTTCTCTTATTTTTCTAATGTAACCTTAAGGCTTCTTGGTAGGCCTTGCGGTTTTGTTGTCATGTTTTGTGTTGGGTTTTATGTGGCCACAGCTGCCCTTGATTGTGCCTGATTGCTTGTGTGAGCAATAATTTGGTGTCATGCTGATTTTTGTTGTTCTCAGATCTGATCTATCTATTTTGCTTTTTAAGTTTGTAAGTGACCCATATATGTCATCCGTGAACAGACCTACATGTGCACATTTATAAAAACAACAACATCATGTGCTCTGCCTGCATGCACACATGAAGACAAAAAGCAGTGTATTTGCTGGATAGTCCCTCATGTAATGCAAATTATAAACCTAATATTGATGCACCAAATCATTTTTTAACCAAAAACACGGTTAGTTTAGGCAATTCAAATGAAATGGTTTTTAGTGTAAATTTAGTAAATTTTACTCAGTATGCTGTTTATTGTGTTGTGTCCTCAGGTGATAAATTAACACAATCATAGGAAAGTTCTTTGGCAAAATGGCAACAAACTGACATCTAAAAAAATTGCAAGTTTCTACTTTAGAATCCTTTTTGTTCACAGTGATGTTTGTTCACACCTTTGACATGTTTACCTGTCATAGCTTATCCTTTTGTGTGCACAAAATAGACGCTAACACAGTCAAAAAACGTTTCATTGGAGGAGCAATGATTAAATGCTGCCGTTTGATCAATAATGTCTTCTGAAACTGAAAGCAATTTTTTGCTGTTTCGGCCTAATATTATGGCTGCCGTGCTAATAATGTAAGATTGTTACTTATTCCATATAATTTTTCTTAAAACATTTTGACATTCATTTTAAGGTCAACATTTAAAATTATAGGTCATACTATGTAGTTTCTGGTCTTATTGTGGACAATTAATCTGTGCACAGAAAAAAATTGTCATAATTTTTTATCAAAATGTAATGCCTCCAAAAACATTGACTTATGCCATGATAATTACATGAAAATTATTACAAAGTTAATTACAAATATTGCAGTTGTTATTGACACAATGTAGGTCAGATTTGCTATTCTAAGAAAAGGTTAAATATTGGCACATATATTAAGCATCATACATTTGCTCTCACTGTCTGCCAAATGTAATGTTGGCTGATTGTGTAATTAGAAAGGAAATTGGCTGATTTTTATCTGTAGCTGACCAATTATTCCACCCCTGGATGAAGCCTGTTTCCGACAAAATACCCACTGGTAAAATGTAGTTTCTTTAGCTGTGGTGCTATAGATTATAGAGGTGAACAGTGGTTCATTTTAATTGAATTTTGGCATTGCCATTCACAGTGAAATATTTCAGCTTTTGTGAACTTGTTTTAGTAAGAAAGCAGGTGATTTCATGATGTTTTACTTGATATAATGAAGTAGTAATGTACTTTTTACACTGTTATTGTTTCAGAGGTGTAATGGTGCTCAAAACATACTCAGATCGAATGTTTCCTTCCCTCAGTGTGCTGGCAGCAGTGACTGGTTCAGCGGCAGTGGTGCCAACAGCAGTCGTCCCATGAGTTTTCTTTTGGCTTGAGCTGTCTGCTTTGGGCTCTGGCCTGGTTCGTCTGGATCTCTGTGCCTCTGGCGCCGCAGTCATGGATCACCCCAGAGAGAAGGAGGGCGAGAGGCCGGTCAGGAGCAGTAAAGTGGCCCAGGGGCGCAGCGGGCACTCGCGGCCCTCCAGCTCCTCCACGTCCTCTGGGGTCCTTATGGTTGGACCGAACTTCAGAGTTGGCAAGAAGATCGGCTGTGGCAACTTTGGAGAGCTGAAGCTCGGTAAGAGAAGTCATTAGTGTATTATTTGTTCAGCTGCGATTGTCATGCGTATCTTTCAGTGAAGCACGGTTCTGTGATCAGCAGTAAATCAGCAGTAAATCTCCATCCGAAGGCCAGAGGGCGCTCTCACGCGGAAACTCCAAATACGCCCCGCAGAAGAAACCCAGGAAATCCCTATAGCGGTTGCTGAATAAACAGAAGATTTAAATGCTTTCATTGATTCAACGTGACTAATAAACACACGACTACGGCAATATATGGTTTATATATCGGTTTTTCAATATATAGTTCTTCTTCTTATAATTTTCATTATAATAAAGTATATCTATAATGCAATGCTAATCAGCTTAGCCTTTATCACTGCATAGAATGCTATGAAATATGTTGCGTGCCTTATTCTGTGTAAGAAGAAACATCATCTCACAGAAGGATTTATTTCAAACACTCTACTGACGTTATGAAGTGAGTTTTGAGTAAAAACATGTTATTAAATGTGGTATTTTCACATGCTATCAGATGGAGCAGCATTTACTAAACAGAGCCGTAGTTTACTGAGAAGCTACACAAACGGCTGTCAACATCGCAAACGATATCTTTGATTTCATAATCGTACGATTATATAGTCTGCAAATTATTATTTCTTTTTTTTTTTTTGCGTAGCTTGTCAGAGAATTACGGCTTTGTGTAGTAAATGCTGCTCCCTCTGAAAGCAGGTGATGGAGATTTACTACTAGTCACGGAACCAGCTTTACTGACAAGATGTGTATGACAATCGCATTCGATTAATCGTGCAGCCCTACTCTGTTGAATGCGTTATTTGTTCTCCATGCCTTTTTGAATACTGATTCACGCTTCAGGCACACCCTTCAGGAACAACTTTTTTAGCACAACCTGCTTTGTACTGACCCTCGTTTACAAAGAAGTCTGGTGTAAAATGGTTCGCGCGAACATAAACGCATTTAGGTAGATCGGGGGGGCACATTCCCTTCAAAAACAAAAGTAATCCACTGCTTCAGTGGCTCAGATGTCGTGAGTAAATGACGACGGCTATGTTCATTATTACATCCAACAACAAAACACCTCAATCACTTAGGAGACATTCTACACCTGCTCCGGTGTCGAAACAATGGCGGACTGTTGACAGCTCACTCAGGGCAGGACTATGATAAACCGGCAATGTTTGTCAACAGTCGTGGGAGGGACCTGTGCAAAGTTACCTCACTTTGCCAAGAATCTGTTAATGGCTTGATCTCAGAAAGTGCTTATGATTTGTGGGGATTTAAAAACCATGTAAAAGTGAATTTTGCATCTGATGTCCCCTTTAAATTCTGTCAGGATGATATTGGAATCAGATAATAAGGGCCTTTTTTTTTTTTTTTTTCTTTCAAATGTTAACTCATTTTATGCTGGCTTTTTTAAATCTGTTTTATCCATTCCTCTGTAATTTTAATGCCTTATCGCTATTCTTGAGATTTTTACTCGTGAACAATATTTTTTAGTATTTCAGTTATATGTATGTCAGCCACCATATTTGTTATATGAGCTAATGGTTTACAAGTCTGTTTTAGATGGCCAGTGGCTGTTATGTAATCAAGAATTGCAAAATTTCCGAAAATTTACAACAAATTTGGTAGATTTTGGAACTAACACAAAAGGGAACTACCAATTCTGTTAATCAACCAAGCTGTCACAGTGTTCCACTGATAGTGAGGGTAGTGCATTGCTCATGACACAGGAGCTGTTGTCCTAAAGTGACTGGTTCAGAACCAACCTGGGTCATGTTCCAAATATGTTCCTATTTTCTCTACCTTCACACTCCTTTCAAAATCTCCATTAGATTTCCTTTCTATTTATGCCAAATTTACACTGCAAATGTGGCACAGAGATGCTTCTAAAGTGGCATTTGTGTTTTTACACAAACTGTTTAAAGCTACTCAGAAGGCATAAATGCATTTACACAGTAATTACAACTGTATACTTCCATACTAGGGATTGAAGTGGGTCTGAGCAGGCATAATTTACTCTGACTTTCATGCAACATTGCGTCTTGAATTTTGAGCAGGCACAGAGCAGCCTTAACTCAGCTGTGTAAGGATAAATGTGACCCTGGACCACAAAACCAGTCTTAAGTCGCTGGGGTATATTTGTAGCAACAGCCAAAAATACATTGTTTGGGTCAAAATGACTGATTTTTCTTTTATGCCAGAAATCATTAGGATATTAAGTAAAGATCATGTTCCATGAAGATATTTTGTAAATTTCCTACTGTAAATATATTAAAACTTAATTTTTGATTAGTGATATGCATTGCTAAGAACTTCATTTGGACAATTTTAAAGGCGATTTTCTCAGAATTTAGATTTTTTTTTTTGCACCCTCAGATTCCAGATTTCCAAATAGTTGTATCTCGGCCAACATCATCATGTCCTATCCTAACAAACCATACATCAATGAAAGATTATTTATTCAGCTTTCAGATGATGTATAAATCTCAATTTCGAAAAATTGACCCTTATTACTGGTTTTATGGTCCAGGGTTACAAATATATAGGCAGAAATCCAATACTTGAAAATATAAGTATAGATCAAATTGTCTGTATTTTTGCGTCCATATTCAAACAGTATAATTTCAGTTGCAGTTGGTCACCCTTTGTCTGTTTTGCTTTTTAGGAAAGAATCTCTATACAAATGAGTATGTTGCAATAAAGTTGGTAAGTATATTTATATTTATTATTTTCTACGAAGGGATTATAACAGCAGAGGCTGGTGTTCTGCTAACGTTTTGTTGTAACGTGTAGTTGTAATGTCTAGGCATGTCTGTAGATCTGGAATCAAACTCTAAAGGCTGGATTTGTTCAAAGAAATCAACTCCAACTGCTGTATTTTAAACAGACATTTTAGGAACCTTAAACCACAAGAATATATTTGTATATTCTGGTACTGATAACTTAAATATGACGTTTGGAAATAAATGTGTGTTTCTGGCTGGAATATTTGTATCTTGTAAATGAATTTAATGTGAACAAATAAAAGCGTTTTAATTTAATCTTTTTTTTTTCTGCCACTCCTAAAGGAACCTGTGAAATCGAGGGCCCCGCAGCTACATTTGGAGTACCGGTTCTACAAAACATTAGGCAGTGCAGGTAAGATTATAATCAGCACCAGCACTGCTGTACCCTGCTTTTATCTCCTTTGTTTGCTTGGATAATATTCATTTCACGTGTTTTCATGTGCTGTGTTTTATATTTTTGCATTCACATCCGTGTGTTTGCTCATTGTATCTCATCTACCTTTAGCTTTAATCTTCATATCCAAGGATTTACCGTTATTTTTCTTGCTTTCAAGCCTGCAGTTTCCGAGCAAGTTTTGTGAGGATGTTTCCTTTGTATTGGATTGAGGATTTTTTCCCCTCTGGAGTATCTGACATGTTGAGTCATAGCTTCAGTTTTGATCTTACAGAACAGTTTGTTTTACTACTGAGCCTAGGCATGTGTGTGTGTGTGTG